ATCGTGGCTCCCAGGGAAGTATGTGGTCTTCCACCAGCAGCTGTTACATTTTTGGGGCGTCGAGGTCTTCTCAGATGGAGAGGCCATGTGCTACAAATCTTGTAGACGTCACGAGGGCTACTCGGTGACGCAGGAGGACCTTAAGGTGATGCGCGTGGATGCGCGATACAAGGTCACGTCCCTTCCGTTGAACGAAGCAGAAAGCCGAGATGGCGCCCTCCATTCATCTTTCTGTAGAAAGGCCTGCTGCCTCGAAACTCGCTGTGCTTGAAACACAAGATATTCAGCCGACCGGCACAAGTGCTGTCGCGACAGGATGTGGATGGTCAAGGCAGGCTCGTGGGCGATAGCTTCGGATCCAGCCTTCAGTCGCTGGGCTACACGTATCTCATGTGCATAAGTTTGCTTTCCTCGTGCGTCACATGTCTTTCCTCCAAGGCCGCGCCGGCTTTTTACCGGAAACTGCGACCTTGACACGTGGATTCTGGGCGGCGCCGTCTCCTGCCAAACGTTTGGCACCTTGTGCTGCATCAACAGGTCGACTCTGCGGCTCCTAACCACGCTGCCGTCTCTGTGGCGGGACCTCTGCATGGAACTGCCACCTTGTAAGTGCAGGCAGTTGCGCGCAGCTCGTGTTCTTCGATCTCGATGGCCGTTCACGCCAATTTCGGAGTGCATGTTATTAGACAGGCAGGCTGCCAGAAGGTGCGACGTGGAGTACCGCTTCCAGGGCGTTGTGCCGCCGCGACCCTTGTCGCATCACGGGCAGAACCACTTTCGGATGCACTACCCCGCAGAATTTCTGCGAGGGTACGCCTACGTGCATACATGGTCAACGACGCGGACTGTGGAGGCGTCTGCTGCCGTAGTTATCAGCACACCGGAATTGTTTCCAAGCGGGGACGAGGCAAGGGTGGTCTGTGGGTATGCGCTCAAAGCAGATTTGAGCCATGGCGATGGTCGCGTATTTGCAGACACTGGTGGTGCATGCGTCTGGGCCGTGGACATCTATAGCCGAAGTGGTCTCCTGCCACCGACATTCACCTTTCATGCCCAAGGCCGGCGCATTCAAACACCGAGCGAGCTCAGTGGAGAGCTCAGCCACATACCACTGCGACATCGCAACGAGGCATGCCTGGCCTTCTGCTACAACGAGCTTCACCTCTACTGGAACAACCAGCTTGCAGCAGCTGTCTGCGTGCCAGCAGATTCATCATTTCCGAACCACAAGATGTCGCAGATGGGCGTGTATTGCATGATACAAACTATGCATGCTCTGCAGCAGACAAACCCTGTCCATGCAGTGCAGGTGGCGAGCCCGAGAACGACTGAAAATCAAGGCATGCCGATGGCCGGTGTGCGCATGTTTGATACACGTGACTTAACCTGCTCAGACTTGCACATCAGCCAGAACCGCTTCGTGCACCTGGGCCCGCTTGCCGCTGTGTCCGAGGCGAGAGTCTGCATTCGTGGGTTGTGTAGCCTTGCTTCCAACATGGACATCCTCGTCGGCTTCAGCACTTGTCGAACAGCCAGCCGCGTTGAGGAGGTTTTGTACTCTTCCAGAGCAACTGGGCACGGGTGTGCGTGGGGCGCACGGTTGCAGGTGGAAGATGGGTGCATCGTTCGTCTGTGTGCTGCAACATCGTGGGGTCTCGAGCAGGAGCCTCGCCCGATGTGCGCTGAGCTGCATGCTTTGGGAGTAGCCATGCGTGTCGAGCAAGTAAATTCTGGGCTGCAAATAACGCTGAATGATGGTGCCACGGAGCTGTGGCCTAGCATACATCCACCCGGTCGCATCCAGCGCTCCCGGCCGGTGGTTGGTGCAGGTTTGGCCGGGTACACAGGACCTGCGGAGCTTTCTGTGATCCATTGCAAAACTTGAGGTGTTGGTGACAGCGCAGGAGAAGGTCAATGTCAATGTCCTTGAAGGGCGGCCGTGGCGGGACCATTGTGGTGGAGCTGAGACGCCAGCCCTGAAGCTGGGTTGGTTGCAGACGTGCACGGAGGTCGCAGAAGTGGACCACTGCGGTGGCACACAAAATGCAGCTTCTAGCGTCCAGCCACAGGTGGGGCAGCGAGTTATGGCATTGCAAGATCCATGGTTGGAGCTAATCCTTTCCGGAGGCAAGATTATGGAGCTACGGGATCGAAGGGCGCAGGCAGGCCCTGTATGGCTCGGCAAGGGCAACGTTATCTACGGGCGAGCAGAAATTCAGCTGTCCGAGCAGATCACCCCCGTCCAGTTCGGCAACATGTGGAAGTACCATCGTCTGGAAGGGGACGAGCTTCCGTACAAGCAGACATATGCCTTGCATTTGCACAATGTTACACGTTTGACGTCGCCCGTGCAGTTTGCGCGACTTTGGGGCAGCATCGGCTGGGCAAAGGTCAGATTCACTGCGGCGGACATTCCTACCGCGGGAAGTCAACGTCGTGCTTCAACGGGTGTGGCTGAGGGTAAGGTATCGGAGCCACGCAATATCGAAGGCCTCACGAACACAGGGAGCACTTGCTTCATGAACTCTGTTTTGCAGGCATTGTTCCACATTCCTGCTGTAGCACACGTCTTCAATGCGCACAGAGAAGCAGGCTGCGGAACTGCATGTGTGATGTGCTTGCTCCGCAACACAGATACTGCTCGTCGTGCCCAAGCTGCTAACAAGGAAGTCATGTGCGCCTGGCGGCCCTTTCTGGCAGAGGCTGGCTTTTTCGAGGGCGAGTCCGATTCTGCGCTGTACTTCGCGCAAGCGCTGCTGGAGAAGATGACTGAGTGCAAGGCAAGGCCCGGGGATTAGAGTATGTGATGGATACACGCGGGTTTGTTGGTTGGGTCTGACAGTGTGCATGTTCGGCCCGGGTGGCAGGACACTGTGGGCTCAATGACCAGCCTCTTCGAGTCAGCAGTCAAGGTAAGGAAAGAGCACACTTGCCGCAACCTCGGCTGCGAACTTTGTGGCCAGCTCTGCAGAGCCGAAAGCGAAGAGAGGTGGAACCTCTTGTTTCTCCAGAATCCCAGCAGCAGCATTATGACAATTTCTTCCCTGCGAGAAGAGCAGTGGCGGCTGCAAGCGAGTGGTGAGCTCCGGTGCGACGGCTGCAAAATGGATCGTTCCGTGGTGGAACACACCGAGCTCCTGCGTTGTGGCCCGGTGGTGGTTTTCGGCTTCCCGAGAGGCGCAAACACAGTAGATGGCCGACAGCAGCGGAACCAGCATCCGATTGTGTGTGAGGACAACATGACACTTTGTGGAGTGGAATACCAGCTGTCCTGTGTGGTGGAACATCTGGCGGCCGGGGGCAATGCCGACGGAGGTCACTATGTCGCTTGGGTTCGGCGAGGCAACAGCGGCTGGCTCAATTGTGATGATGCAGTGATCCGTGACGCGGAGTCCTTGGACGAGTCCGTGTCCACCGGAGTCGTTCTTGCTTTTTATGTTCGGGGTACTGACCCGATTGGTGCGTCTGCTGGCAAGGCGGAGGCGCACGACACAAGCAAAAACCCTGGAAGTGGAGCGCCAGGACCCGGAGACTTGGCGGATGCTGTGACAGCGGGCACAGAACCTGCGCAAAAAAAGCCGGTGGTGCGCAGTGGTCTTATTCCAGAAAATTGTGACGGTCACTCGCAGCTGGAGGATGCTGTGGCTCTCACACTGGAAGCTTACGAAACAGGCCATGACCCTCGAGCTGTTTTATTTGACCTGCCCAACTTTTCTTGTGAGGTCACGGAACCGTCCTGGCAGACGTTTCGGTTGAGGACCGCAGTGGGTGAGTACGTCAAGTCCAGCATCGCTTCAGATGATGCTGTCCACCTCGCCATGCCGCTGTGGCGGACAGCTTTTTTCCCGATGATTGTGCTCATGGAGGCATGGTCCCGGACGACCGGGCTACCGGCAGTATTTTACATAGATGCCTTTTATACCCTGGCAGGCAGCTTGCTCAACAAATCTGTTTCTTTTGAGGCCGCAGGACATAGCTGCAGGGCGCGGTACTGGGCAGTGGGCACGGCCGCCCCTGGCTCAGGGAAGAGTCCATCTTTGGAACCTATGAAGCAAGCCTTGGTGGAAGTGCTCCGGGAGTTCCCTGAGCTCGTGCCAGGAGTTGCAAGCGATGGCTTCCATATCCAGCCATTAGGAACTCACGCAGCTGCCGTTGACAGGTTGCATAGTACGGGTGGCTACCAATTCATCGGTGCGGCCGAGGGCGGGCCCATATTGTGCCCTTCGTGGCCAACATCTTCGACCTGGAACCGCGGAACACACATCGACTGGCAGAGGTACCTCGATGCAGCAACAGGACGAAAGTGAGGGGGTGTCACGAAAAAGGTCATGACAAGTCATGAAAGAGGGGTTATGTCTGCGCGTAATGCATGCTGTGACTTTCTTGCAGTCTTGCTGGCAGGAGGGGCGGTTCCGTGGGAAACGGCTGTGGAGCGAAAAGCACGACGACACTCTACTTGCGAAGCAGCGCAGCCAGAAGATGCAACACTGGCCGAAACAAATGTGTCTGTCATCATCCTGCAACAGCTGTCCTTGTTTTCCAACTGGTGGGCTGCATCAGAGGAAAAATGTAGCATAGGACTTGCAGGTCGCTGCGTGTTTTCCTTTGCCTCAGCTGGCGAACCAGGAGCACCGCGCGTGGCAAGATTCGGACAGGACGTGGCTTTGCCCATCGTAAAGGACTTGTTTCGCTTGGTTCTCCGATGCATGGGGCTTAATGCGCCGCTGCCTTCAGATAGTCCGCTGCTCCTCTGGCGCAATGGGGAAGAGTCGCAAGCAGCAGTCTTTGAGTACCGCGTTTGCTGTCACGAACTCACTAAGACATTGGCCATGGGCGAGACGTTCGCTTCATGCCTAAACAAGTCAGGGTACTGGCTTGCAAATGTTAGCTTTTGGAACTCGCTCCTCGTGCAGTTGTGGCAAGGGCTGCAGCCTCAAGCAAAATCTGGAGACTTGCTCACGTTGACGCCCACCCTCTCAGATGACAGCATGAAGGTTGCCATGGATTTTTTCACGTACCGCTTTCTGTACGGCGCCTCCGTGCTGTCGCGAGACATTCAGCAGCGCTCATGGGTTCGACGCAAGACTCTCAACTCGCCGGAGCAGTCTCGATGGAATGCAGCGGCTGCTCTGCTGCTGAAAGGTTCATGCGGTGCAAGAATAACGCCTAAGATTGCGGCAAGAGCCGGTCCGTTTTTTCGCAACATATTGAGTGCAAACCCTGCGGCTGCACGCTCGGCGCAAGTCGCATATGTCACAGCGCTCGAATACTTATCGCAGCGCGGGTTCGGATCCATCGAGCGCAAGGACGCCTGCCCCACGACACTTCCGCAGTTGCTGAAGAAGCATCATGTCTTTCTGCCAGAATCCTGCAAGCGGCACCTGGCCGATACAGGCATACACCTTCTAACCTTCGGTCTGCACCTGCCCGAAGAATCGGCGCAACCAGGGGGCATCTGCCCAGGGCCGGTGGAAGAGACGGAGATCGGAGCAACCGCAACAAGTCGCGGCTACTCTCCCAGTTCAAGAGATGTTCTTCCTCAGGACACGGAAGCAGAATCCATACGCCAAGAAGATGACGAAGAAGAGGAAGAAGAGGACTGGACAGTGCTCGTCAACAAGCCTGCGCCAGGAATGCCAAATACTTATGCAGCGCTTCGAAAATGGATGGAGCGTGCGCTGGGACAGGCCAAAGACACCGGCATTTACGACTACAAAGAGAAAAGGGCAGGAGCCTTGCGCAGAGTCATGACTGCAGCATGCAAAGCAGGGGCCTGCGAGGCCTGCAGCAAGAGAATCAAGGCCGTCTTGACAGTGTCGTGGGATGGTGGCACACAAGTTTGGCTTGGTGCAAAAGGCAAGCACGGAACTTTGCACCAACCAGACGGAGGGCTTCTATGGAGTGTGGGAGAGATGTATGCCATTATGCAGCATGCCACACAGAATCCCAACCTCGGGGCCAAAGATGTACGTAAAGCTTTGCAGGATGCAGGGTTTGCCGTCAGGTGCACTTCGGAGCAACTCGTTCAGTGGGCAGCCCGTCTGCGGCGAAACAAAGGCCAAGGCAAAGGCAAGCAACGACGCGAGGTGAAGGTCGCAGAACTTCAGGTCGCTGCGGCACCTTTCATGGTTCCCGGAAACATTGACTGGAGCTCTTTACCGTTGTGGAAGCTGGGGGTGCTGCCGGGATCAACTTTCGAAGAAGGTCGCGTTTGCGCTATGTGGACTTGTGCAGGCATGGTGCAGCGTGGCCGTGGTGCATGCAACAAGGTAGTAAAGCTTGTCGTTGATGGCAAACAGCAGATCGTGTCCAACGATTACACCATCCTCACGTTGTCTTTTCTCGTGCCGAGTGAGACCGTGAGCAAGACGTGGGTGGGCAAAAGTCACACGGCGTCCGCCGAGCTTCACATTGCAACGCAGCAGCCCTTTGTGCAGGCTCTCCTGAACACTGAGGCCGAAGGAAATGTACTGGATGTCTTCAATGCAGCTTGTGAGCTCGGGCAACGCTACTGTGAGTTGGACCTACGCAGCCAAGTGCTGCAAGTTCACAAAGATTTCGCCAAAGGGATTGAAAATGCCCGGCGACGAGCTTTTCCAGCCTCGCGTCCCTGCGACGACTACGCCCACATGCGGCGAGCTTCCTACAACAAGTTGAAGCAGCTGCTTGGAGTCAAGCCCAAATTGCCCGGAGCCCAGCAGTACCAGCACGGTGCTTGGATGTTCTCGACGCACCAAACATGTGTAGATGCCGAGTTCGGCAGATTAGTATGTCCCTCGCTGAAGCATCAGGTCGGAAAGGAAAGATGACGGAGATGAGACGCGGGAGTTGAATTCAAAAGCTGCGGCAAATTTCAGACACTTGGACAAAATTGTTCAGCTTTCGCGCCATCTGCCAACGTTGCAATTCTTCGATGCCGTCTGGCACCTGGCGTTGCAGTGGCTGGAGTCATGCAGCAAGCAAACCTTCAAGTACTGGACTGACACGTACTTTGACAAGATCCCGGCGACAGCTTTATAGAAGCAGTTCCGCTGCAGCGCTGCGGCCTGGGGGCGGTCGTCCTTGTGGTTTGCAGGGTTCTGGTCTGAATTATTGGTACCTATCCCGGCAGCGGGTCCGGGTCCCAGACAATCGAAAGCTTCCACTCACAGTGGCAAGCTCTTGTGCAGGGGCAGGTGCGCGAGCAGCCAACCAACATATTCAGCTGCATGGAGC